TTACATATTTTGTTTATCTTTTTATTTATAGGCCTTTTGTTTGTTGCAAATTTTTCTATTTACTTTTGAAAATGTGGTACTAGCAAATTTATCATTTTAAATGTATGTTATGGGATGTTTTTCTTCAAGAAGCCAGTCTGTTGATTTTTAAACACACACACACACACAATAACACACACTTTCACTAATACAGAAGTCTAAAGTGGGGGTTGGTCAATTTTGCCATTCTTTTTGTTGTTGTTGTTGTTAGGTGCCATTGAGTCGGTATGGATTCACAGCAGAATGAAACACTGCCCGATCCTGGGCCAAACTCACAACTGTTGCCACGCTTGAGTCCATCGATGCTGCCACTTGGCCAATCCATCTCATTGGGGGTCTTCCACTTTTTCTCTGACCCTCCACCTTACCAATCTCCAGCAACTGGTCCCTCCTGACAATATGTCTGAAGTATGAGAGACGAAGTTTGCCCATCCTGGCCTCCAAGGAGCACTCCGCTGCACTTTTTCCAAAACGGATCTACTGGGGGACACTTTGAGCAGGTTATGGAGACTGCTTTGGTTGTCATCGCCATGTTCCTAACTGCAGTCTCCTTTGCCAAGAGCAAGCCAAAAAACATTCTGGTTAAGATGATGAGCCAAGATGGAACCGGTTACACCTACAATGCCAAGAGAAGCCGACTTTGGGAGAAACTGAACTGAATCTTCTCCATTTTGATCCCTTTGTGAACAAAAAAGTCTCTTTGTGGACCAGAAAAAAATACGCTTCCTCTAAACAATGGATTGAAAATGAATTTGATTTATAAATGAGAAGACTGGAGGGTGGGACACTGATTCAGAAATCTTGCAGTGTGTAATAAAAGAAGAGGAAATGGCATGGAATCACTGCCTCCTGTGATTTGAAGGCCATTGTGAAGGAAAACAATACAGTGAAAGAAAGTTCTTCACATTAGGACATAGATCATTGTATTACGTTGATTTATCTTCTTAGATATTTTTATAGCCCTTAATAAAAATATTAAAATACCAAAAAACAAACAGACAAAAAACGGATCTATTGGTTCTTTTGGCAGCCCATGGCACTTTCAATATTCTCTTCCAACACCATAACTGAAAAGCATCAATTCTTCTATGGTCTTCCTTATTCACTGTCCAGCTTTCACATACATATGAGGTTACTGAAAATTAGCCATATCAGCAACAATAGGGATTGGTCTCAGTATCATCAAGAAAGTACGCCCAGGGGTGGAACGTGTTCTTTGGAGCCTGAAATCTCTGTGTATTGAACTTGTTTGATGCAAGCACAGAAAGTGATGACACCAGAGAGGAAGCAGAAAAATGTCAGAAGAGCAGTGGCAGCAGAACTAAGTGGACTTCCCATTCCGGGTCATGATTAAAACTGAGTCGTCATGCAGAAGATTCTCTTGCAGAGTAAAGTGCTTCTAGGTATTTAATCTGGGAAGTTAGACGTAGTGATGTCTTCAGACTGAAGTTTACAAAGGATCTTTTGCCCTTTTGGAATTTATCGGCAGTCCTGGGAAAGCTTTATAACATTGTGTGAGCAGGGCAGAGGTCAAGCCAAGGGACCTAGGGCCAGAGATAGGCCTACTTACAGATATGACAGAGAAAAGGCTATTCTGACAATAGAACTGTATCCTGAATATTCCTGATCCTGTATTATATATAACCTGTTAACTACTCTAATAAATCCCATCATTTTTAGTACTGCCTGTTAGATCTGTGTGCCCACTGCAATGAAGTTTCAAACCTGGCTGAGAGGTAGAATACTGTGGTAAGGACCGCATATTACTAATCGGAGGGCCATCTTTGCTTTTTAAGATTTTAAAGAGGTATTTTGCAGCAGATTTGCTTAATGCAATAGATTATGGGCTTTGATTATTGACACAAAAAGAATAAAATCCTTGAAACCTCATTTTCTTTGTTTTTTATAATGATGTTGTTTATTGGTTCAGTTGTAAAGAGTTTCATTTTCTTTATAAGTAAAAGAAAAATTAAGATAGAAGCTATACCTAGTGCTAAACAGGAGTCCTGGTGTGGCACTGTAGGATAAGCACTAAACCACAAGGTCGGTTTGAACCACAAGGTTAGTGGTTCAAACTCACCAGCTGTTCCTCAGAAACCCTATCCAGGGTTGCCTCAAAGACATTTAACAACAATAACAGTGCTAAACAGATAGACCCCAAGTTCCCATATTCTATTTAATATAAATTAAAAAATATCTCAACTATCTCCTAATTCTAATTTCTGTGGAAGGCACTGCATGGTATTGGTCTCATGGCCCTCCTCTTTGCTCAATGCTAAAACCTTGGTTTTTGTTTGTCTGTTTCCAGAGGATCCATAGCTTTATGGGTCATATTCCAACATCAGAGGGTAAATGATATTATTGTAAGTCAATAATGGTAAGTGTGCATTTATTGCCAGTTATTAGTTTAGGCATAAGCATCATTACCATTGGTTATGGACTGAATTGTATACCTGCTCCACTTCCTCAGATTTATTTTGAAGTCCTAACCCCTGATTCCTATGAAAGTGACTTTGTTTAGAAAGAGTCTTTGAAGATATTACCAGTTAACATCATATCAGAGTAGTTGTTGTTGTTGCTAAGTACTGTCAATCAGTTTTGACACATAACGACTCATATAGAGTTTCCAAGGTTGTATGTCTTTGCAGTAGCAGAAATCTTCATCTTTCTCCCTCAGAGTGGCTGATTGAGTCCAATCACTGACTTGTGGTTCCACAGTCCAGTGTTATCTTATAGAGCCACCACACTACCTAATTGAAAAGACTGGGCCTTAATTCCACCTGGATGTTGTTCTATAAAAGAAGTTAACAGATATCCAGTAGAAGGCAGAGGAATAGCACTGTAGAACATTACAGGGATGCCTAAAGCAAGCAGAGCTAGGAGACAGGGACAAAACAGTTTCAATTTTAGAATCAGAAGCAAAGTGACTGACATCTTAAACTGAGATATGAAACCTCCACTGATGTGAAATAGTAAGTTTCTGTTCTGTAAAACCACCAATTTTGTAGAATTTTGTATGGCAACCATAGGAAACTTATAAACATGGTTATGTGTCAACAGAATTATTCTGCAGCAGCAAGTCAAGGAACCTGCCAACGACTAACAGAAGGTAGGAGAGATTCAAAAGGTTCTTCATCTACAGCTTTCAGAGAACACCATCCTTGCTTACACCTTAAATTCAGACTACTAACCTCCAGAACTATGAGATAATACATTTCTGTTCTTGTAGGACATCCAATTAGTGTGCTTTCTTTTAGCAGCACTAGGAAATTAACATACCATTTAGAACACACACAAACAATTGAGGCTCCAAAAGCTCTTTTTTCCTTTGGGACAGTAAAGTCATTGTGTCAACTTAAGAGAATTGATAACTTAAAATGGAGCCAGGATTTATAGCCAATTTAGATTGTTAGTCCATTTTCTTAATCATATGTTAAAACTACTAAGGAAAACATCTTTTGTTTAATAAAGAGAAAAATGTAACATGATAAAATGAATTTTCAATATTTTCAATTTTAAGGTAACATTTTTGCCTTTTCAAGTGAGAGAGTAGTAAATCTACTACTTTTTTTTCTGACAATTTATGAAGTGAAGCTTCAAATATGAAAAGAAAACACAACAACAACTTGAATCCAGACTTTTGTTATTTTAACTAAAGAATAGTAGAGTAATTTCATAATGATAATATTTTACCATCACAGGGTACAGAAAACCATTTCGGCTTGCCCAGTCTCTTAGAGTCCTTTATAGTTGAAAATGTGTCTCTCTTTTTATGATTGTGAATATAGACTGGCTTCATAAAAAAACTCCAGAAAGAGATACTTGGGATTTTTATTTCCTTATGCACTCAAGACATTTGCATTAGCTTAATTTTGCTGTTGTTTTTAAATGCCATCGAGTTGGTTTGGATTCATAATGACCCTGTGTAGGGTTTCCAAGGAATGGTTGGTGAGTTTGAACCACCCATCTTGTATTTCAAATCAACTTGGGGTCCAGTACTGATCCTATAGTACCACACCATAGAATGGAGTAATCAGATTTATTTACATTTTAAATACAATATCTTAGAATTAGAACTAATTGTTCAATTAGAAATGTATAAGAAACTCAACTCCATGTTGACTAATGGCATTTTTGATATGCCAATTACCTAAGCATATATAATTTGAGCTCACTTGACTGCCAACCACAAGGCTAGCAGTTCAAAGTCACCAACCATTCCTCAGAATCTCTATACAGACTCTATGAGTCAGAACTGACTGGATGGCACTTAATAACAACAGTATAATTTGAGCATATTGTCTAGTAGTGATAGTAGGTCTGTACCTCTTTTCACATGTCCTGCTTTCAACTAACGTTACAGATCAGTAAAACAGCTGTTAGACTGTAACCATTCAAAATAAGGTCCCTGATCCATCATGACTGAGACATATCATTAGTGACATTGCTATCCAACTGCCAAAGTATTGCATGATTAGAGATCTTAGTAGCTGATTAAGATCCTTCTTTTGAAAAGAAGAATGGTTTGGATATTTTGCAAACTTTTGCACAATAGATAACTTCCTAATCCTCCCATTTTCAATAAACAAAATTAAACAGATTTCAATGAAAAAAAAAAAAAAACCTAAAAATTATAATCTTGTGGTGAAAATGTCATAAATTGGAGACAATGGCTGAAATGTGTTTCTATTACCATTAGCCTTTGTAACCCAGAAACCTTAAATACATACATAATGATATGAGGAAATTCCATCTGAAAACCTATTTGTAGAAAATTAACATTGCTCCAGTATAAATATATGATATGAAGGTGTTCAATATGCATATACAATGATTTTAAAGACTCCCTTTTTTGTTTGACAATATTCTTAATCTCATTAAACTGATTTTAAGGAGCCAAAATAATAAAAATAATTTTGCAACAATGATTATTTTATAATTGTATAGGAAAATATGGTACATTATACATTGCAAGTAACTCCAGCATCTTCAGTATGTGAACAGGTCCTCACTCCCCATTGTTTGATTTTACACTCCTCAATAGATGCTTCTCTCCCAAAACAATACACTTCATTTAGCCAGATTGGGCCAGCACCTGCAATAATCAAATACAACTGCATTAGTAAGGATAGTGTTTATGTGTATAACAAAACTACTAATTCATCCATTAATTTAATAACAATATGTTAATGATACAGGGTGTAGTAGCTCTGTAGTATAAGCATTGAACTGTACACCACAAGTTCCCGCCCATCAACTACTCCAACATAGAAAGATGAGATTTACTGCTACTGCAAAAATTTACAACCTCAGAAACCCTATACAGGGATGTGATGAGTCGGGACCGATTCAGCAGTACTTAAAAACCACATACGCAAGTTCTGTACTATTGTTGCTGTTGTTAGGTGCTGTTTAGTCATCTCTGACTCATAGTGACCTTATATACAACAGAATGATTAGGATTAAAAATAACTCCTTGCACCAGAATACTTTGTACTCTGTCAATATGTAAAGAACTAAAATGCAAAATAATAGGAGCTATAACAAAGATACATATATAGTCCTATGAAAGCACAGACCTAGGAATAATAAGCAAGATTATGGGGCCATTTTCTAATTGATGAAGTTGGGCATAAGTGACCATCACTTTACTGAAGTTCACACAGCTAGTGTGGAATGGAGCCAGTGGTCCTAATTGGACTGTCTGACAAGAGCAGTGCCTTTCATCAATAGTTTACATCAATCCCTTGCATTATTAGGTTGAGTCTTTCAACTATCTACATAAATCCTGTTGTGCATTGTGGGTTAATGTGTCAGACTGCAAAACCATTTGAACTGTAAGGTTAGTGGTTCAAACTCACCAGCTGCTCCTTGGACACCCCATACAGGGTTGTTATGGGTCAGAACCAACTCTATGGTACTTAACAACAACAACAACATGTGTCAAAGGAGTCCTGGTGTGGCACAGTGGGTTAATGTGCTGGACTACAAGGTAAGCTTGTACTTCAAGGCTGGTGGTTCAAGCTTGGCAGTTGCTTCCCAGAAACCCTGTACAGGGTTGCTATGAGTCGGAAGTGACTAGAGAGCATTTAACAACAACAGCAACAACATGAATGAAAACAATATTCTACAATTTCTAAGAGCTGCCATTTTAGTGAGGATTTATATTCTAGGTAGATGAAACAACTGTGGTCCCACATGTAATTAGTGACAGAGTTGATTCTTGCATCCAGAACCACTGATTCCTATTCTGGTATATTTCCCATTGGATATGATATATTGTGCCACTCAGCAGCTTTGTTTTTGTGTTATGTGATAAAGATTCACATACAATAAACATGTTTTGAGTGCCTATACATGAGACACAAGCCCTTGTGAAATACAAATGGTTAGCTTTGCTGCTTAACTGCAAGGGTTGAGGTTCAAATTCACCCAGAAGAATCTTGGAAGATGGGCTTGGCAATCTGCTTCTTAAAACTCAGCCTCACTGCAAACCCTAAAGAGCACAATTCTACTATGAAGCATATGGGGTTCCCATGAATCAGAAATAATTTGATAGCAACTGAAAAAATAACTGTGAAAGGCAATATGGTAGGCATTTCCGCATACGATCCACTAAACTTATTTCTTACGATAGTCTTTTTGAAATAATGGCAGTTATCTCTATTTTATAGATAAATAAGCCAAGACTCAAAAAGGATGTATGGCTTGCTCAAAATAATAGAAAGAATAGAGCCAAACAACAGAACATGGTGACATTTAAAACTTTGTAATAGTCATTGGCTACATACATAAAAGTCCTATGAGAAAAACAGAAATTACTTCCCAAGATTTGTTATTTTATTTTTATACTAATATATTCAAAACTATTGAGCCTAAGGGAAATTTTTATTTTCCATCTTGTTTGGAATTGTTGTCTGTATTAAAAATTAATGCAAAGGTAGCATAAAATTTTATTTTCATATAAACCTTGAAGATTAAAATACAAATTTATTTTCGTTTCTTTAGGTAATAACTTTTACTCAGGAAGTTTTTGTTGTTTCTGCTGTCATTTAAAATTTTTAATCTGTAAATTAACTTTTCTATTCAGAGGAAGGCTATACAAAATTATTTTGTATTTTAAATATTTTAATTCTCTATTTGATTACCCATTTTTCTTAATTCTGACTCCTATTCAATTTTAATTTGTGCTCTAAAATGCAAAGTTTTTCCTTAAAAATTAAGGTATTGAAATATACTTTCTAATTAGAAGTGGTTTAAAATCAGAAAAGGTATGCTTTGTGTTTGTATCATTTCACCATATATTTTTCAATCTGTATGCTGAGCAAATAATCTCAGAAAATGGATTATATGAAGAAGAATACAGCATTAGGATTGGAGGAAGATTCATTAACAACTTAGGATATGCAGAAGATACATCCTTGTTTGCTTGGTTTCTCATTTTTGAGGATCTGGAGTAGCTTGCCCTCAGTTTTATAATATACAGGATGAAGGAGTTGGCTAAAATAGCTTTGAAATGTCATCTACCTTTAAAAGTTTATAATTCTAAAAATCTGAAGTGGCAATCTCTGTAGCAATGAAGTTATAAAGGATCAAGAACTTAAGAAAGAAGTTCTATTGGGCCAAGACCCAGGTTAAGGTGTAAATTTTGGTCCCTTGCTTAATAACTGTGTAACTTGGGACATATCTTGTGAAGTGTGCTAGCATCCCTTACTTTTTCTATGAGAAACAATACATAGGAAACTTGGAAAATCAATAAGGAAGACCATAGAAGAACTGATGCATTTGAGTTATGGTGTTGGAGAGAGTATTAAAAGTACCATGGACTGCCAGAAGAACAAACAAATCTGTATTCGAAGAAGTATAGCCAGAATGCTCCTGATAAGCCAGGACATATTATCAGGAGGTACTAGTCCCTAGGGAAGGTTATAATGCTTGGTAAAGTGGAGGGTCAGTGAAAAAGGGAAATGCAATGGCAGCAGTCATGTGCTCAAGTGTAGTAACAGTTGTGAGGATGAGTCAGGACTGGGCAGTGTTTTATTGTGTTGTGCAAAGGGTTGCTGTGAGTTGGAGTCAAATCAACAGCACCTAACAGTTAATCTATTTGTCAGGGGCATTGTGAGCATTAAACAAAATCATGTAGAAAGCACATGATAACAATATTATTGCTGTAAGTAGCAAAATAGACATTTATGAATTCTTTAGGCATTTTCCACAATGTCCAACATCCATACACTCACATTTTAAAATTTTTAGTAAAAGGGACAATATGTAATAAATTAAGGTCTGATCTTTTGATCCATTTTAACCTTTAGGATTATTTGTACTATTATTCACTAAAACCTGAACAGATATCAAAGGGTAGTTCAAGAAGACAAAGTAAAATTTTATTATAAAATATGCAAAGACCTAGAGTTTGAAAATCAAAAGGGAAGAACATACTAGACATTCTCAAGCTGAAGGAATAAGAAAAAAGTCAGACCTTGAGTTGCAATACTTAAGGATTCTATGGGCAAATATTGAATGATGCAGGAAGCATCAAAAGTAGATGGAAGGAATTCACAGAGTCGCTCTACCAAAAATAATTGGTTGAAGTTCACTCTTACATGAGGTACCATATGATCACTGAAGGAAGATCAAGCTGCTCTGAAGACATTGGCAAAAAGCAAGGCTCCAGGAATTGATGTATTACCAATTTAGAAATGTTTACTTATCTATGCTAAGAAATTTGGCAGACAGTTATGTGGCCTACCAACTGCAAGATATACATATTTATGTCCATCTCAAAGAAAGGAAATTCAACAGAATGCAGAAATTATTTAACAATATCATTAATATTGGTGTGACACTGTAAGGTCAGCACTATACTACAAACCACAAGACTGCCAGTTCAAACCACCAACTGCTTCTTGGAAAACCTATGCAGGGTTGCTATGAGTCAGAACCAACTTGACAGCACTTAACAACAACATTAATATCACACTCAAGTAAAACTTTGCTAAAGGTAATTTACAAATGGATGCAGGAGTAAATCAACAGAAAAATGCCAGAAATTAAAGCAATATTCAAAAAGGATATAGAATGAGGGATATTATTGCTGATGTCAGATGAATCTTGACTTATAGCAGAATACCAGAAAGGTGTTTATCTGTGTTTTATAGACTACACTAAGACATCTGACTGTGGATTATAAAAAAATATTATTGTTAACACTGCAAAGACAGGGAATTCCAGAACATTTAATTGTGCTTATGTGGAGCCTGTATAGACAGTTATTCTAACAGAACAATGGGATACTGAATGGTTTAAAATTGCAAAGTTGTGCATCAGGGTTGTATCCTTTAACCATACTTATTTAACCTGTGCTGATCCAACAATTTGAAAAGAAAATAGTTATGAAGAAAAATGCAGCATCGGGATTGCAGAAAGGCACATTAACAATTGTATATTGTATGTAGATGACACAATCTTCTTAAAGAGGAATTTAAGCACTTACTGATTAAGATCTAAGCCTTCAGTGTGAATTACACCTAAACATAAAGAAAACAAAGATCCTCATAATTGGAACAATAAGCAACATCATGATAAATGAAGAGCATATTAAACTTATCAAGGATTTCAGTTTACTTGGATCCATATTCAATGCTCATGGAAACAAGAAATCAAAAGACATATAGCATTGGGAAAATCTGCTGAGAAACGTCTCTTTAAAGTGTTTATAAGCAAAGATGTTACTTTGAGGACTAAGGTATACCTGATCTATGCCTTGTTATTTTCAATTGCCTCATCTGCATATGAAAACTGAACAATGAATAAGGAACAATGAATAATTGATACCTTTAAAAAATGATCTTAGTAAAGAATATTGAATATACCATAGACTGCCAGAAGAACAACTAACCCTGTCTTAGAAGAAATCCAGCCAGTATGCTCCTTAGAAGTGAGCTTGGTGAAGACTATATCATGTATTTTGTACAAAGTTTTTTGAGGAACAAGTCTCTGGAGAGGGACAACAGTCTTGGTAAAATAAAGGACAGGGAAAAAGAGGAATACCCTTAACAAGATGAATTGCCCCAGTGACTGCAATGATAGAAG